CCTGGCTGCCGGTGCTGCTGTGCACCGCCGCCGTCTTCCTGGGCGGTGAGGTGCTGCCCTACTCGGTGTGCTCGCGGCACGGGCTGGCCATCGCCTCCCGCACGCTCTGCCTCACCCGGCTGCTGATGCTGGCCGCCTTCCCCCTCTGCTACCCGCTCAGCCGGTTGCTGGACTGGGCGCTGCGGCAGGAGCTCAGCGTCTTCTCTACGAGGGAGCGGCTGCTGGAGACCCTGCGCGCCGCTGGCCCCCACGGCGACCTGGTGCGGGAGGAGCTGGCCATGGTGCAGGGCGCGCTGGAGCTACGCACCAAGGTGGTGGAGGATGTGCTGACACCGCTGGCCGACTGCTTCATGCTCCGGGCCGATGCCGTGCTGGACTTCGCCACCGTCTCTGAGATCCTCCGGTCTGGCTACACCCGCATCCCCGTCTATGAGGGTGACCGGCGCGACAACATTGTCGACCTGCTCTTTGTCAAAGACCTGGCCTTTGTCGACCCCGATGACTGCACTCCCCTGCAGACTGTCACCCGCTTCTACCGCCGCCCGCTCCATTGCGTCTTTAATGACACGCGCCTCGACACGCTGCTTGAGGAGTTCAAGAAGGGTGAGGTCGCCGGGCAGCCCTCCCCGTGCCCCCCGGGCTTCCCCTGCACCCCTTTGTGCCCCCAATGATTTCCAGGTCAGCAGCCTCTGCGGGTAGCCCTGCATGGCCTCCTGGCAGGATGTGGCAGGTACCAGGGATGCTGGGGGGAATTGGTCCCTGCATGTGCTGGTGTGTCGATGACCCTGGTGTCACCTGGTGGAACATCCCCGGGTGGATTGAGGGCCAGCAGTCCTTGATGTACCTGTGATGTTATGAAGGCTGTAAGAGCCTTTGGCCTCAGAGGTTGCTGGCTTGGCAGGTGAGCCTGTCCCGCAGGGGCTGATGTGTTTGCAGTGGCCTGGCAGCACGGGCACGGTACCTGCCTTGCACCATTGCCCAGACAGCGTTCGCTGCTCTGTTCTGTGCAAAGGAGTTTATCACAGGAAATCGCTTCTCATTACTCAGCTTTCACATTTTCAGCTTAGCAGTGAGAAGGAGGTCTATAAAGTATTTCTATGCAAGTGGTTTAAAGGAAGAAGAAAAGATTAAACCCTTAGAAAGCGCTGTACTTCTTTTGCAGCTGTGACAGCATTCATAATGCAGCAGCTGCCAGCAGCCTGAGAGATGCTGAGAGCTGTATTTCATTAACCATACCTTGAGAATACGCACAGCATGTGTTTTTCCCTCCCACTGGGAATTGTGTTTTGCCGCGTGTTACTCACTACGTCATACTGTGGTGAGTGAGTCTAAGAAACGTCTGCAGCAGTGACACGCTGCATTATGTAACGTGCGAGGGCAGCGCTTGGCTCCTGGGCTGCCTGGCGCCGCTGTGCCGCAGGCAGAGCTGGTCATGTGAGAAAGACCAACCTGGTCCACTCCAGATACAGAGAAAGCCTCTCTGTGAGTCATCTCCTGCTCGTTTTTAGAGGTGGGAGGAGGAGAGGACAGGACATTTCTCAGTGTGCCAGCAATGTGCTCATCAGATCCATGCAGGTCAGCATCTTCTCCGGAGATGTTTGGCTGTGTTCCCACTGCCGCTCAGGATCGCAGGCAGAGGAGTTCTGTGTGCCACCACCTGCCCTCTCTGCCTCTCAGCAGAACTGGAGACTCCCAATGGAAAAAATCAGAAAATTCCTGGGTTTTATACAAGGCTGTTAGCAAGAGCATTGAGGTTGTTCTCTGGGCTCAGCCTTGGTGAGCTGCAATAATTCATGCCCACCTCCTTCCCCCCGTGCCAGTTGTCTCTTGTCATCCCAGTTCCTTACGTGCTTCACAGTTCTGGCCTGTGTTTTCCTGCAACAGCGCTGAAGTTCACCTGAGGTCTCTTCTACCCCTCTCTTGTCTAGAGATGTCAGATGATTTTGGCACCCTCTCCCTTGGTCAGGATCCCCTGCAATTTATCTGATTTACTTTGATATACTTTCCCTTCCAAATTCCTTCTAGAGCCTGGAACCCTATGGATCAATAGAGCTAAAAAAATGGGCTTGTGGTTGCTTCGTTCTGTGCCCTTTGCTTGCTGTCCTCTCTGCCCTCCTTAAACAGAACTGTTTGGTGTGTGCTGCTCCCTGGGCTCACAGGTATGCTAGCAAACCTTGCTACCTGCCCTGCCCTTTCATATGCTGCTCTTCATCTCAGATGAAGATTATCCATCCTTCTTTAACTTTGCTCTGTTGAACTCTTGGCATAACACTTCAGGTTCTTTCTTCTTTATATCTGTCTGCCATTGTGGCCTTCTGGAGTGTTTTGCTGCAGTCCCTATTTAGAGCTTTCAACCCTTTTTCTGTTCCCACCTCACTTCTCCTTGTCTTTTCTAACCTACATGGATGAAAAGCCTTGCTTTTGGTGTTCGTATCTAACTCGCACGGTGTTTAGCAATTCCATTTCTTCCCCCAAATGTTCTTCTTCCCAAGAATTGATGCTTTCTTCTGATTCATCTTTCCCCTATTTGATCACCCCCAGCACCCTGAATTTGTAAAGAATTACCCCCCAGCCCAGCCCTGAACCTTCCTAAACTCTATTTTTCCAGTTCCTAGTACAGGTTCTTGTGCTGGCTCCCACACTGTGACAGATGTTAGCTCCCCACTGCCTCCAGCCCCATCCACTGCTGCATTAGCCCTGTTCACTTGACTATTTAATTTCTAAAATAAAGATTCCCCGTTTGTAATGAAGAGTCTTTATCACTGTCTCCTTTTCTGTGTCCGTTTGAATTATGGTGAAGTATCTTGTTTGATCCAATCAAGGTTGCTTTCCATGGCCAGGTCTTCTGAGACACCTTCACTAATTAGAAAGTAGGCTGATTGCTTGTTGGCTCAGCGAGTGTTTAATGAAGGCATTCATCACTTCACACATCCAAGGTGCCTGCAGGACAGCAAATGCTCCCACTGATTAAGCCCAGCCTCTTTCTAGGAAATTGAAGTCTCTGGTAAGGATGGGCATTAATAACCACCTCCAGGTCCTTATGTCCCTCACAAGCTGTTAGAAAAGCCAGCTTTTCTTTCCTTTTCTCATGATTAACTCAAACAATTTTTGTGTCTTTAATTTATTTTTGTTATTATAATGTTTATACAAAATACCTATAACATTTTATATCCTTCTTTCCTGGATAGCAATGTGTACTTCTGTACACTGTTTCACTAATGATTAATGTTCTGCCACATTCACTATACCCATAATGTAATTTTTTTGCATAATGTATAAGTAACACAATTTCACTGCCAGAGCTCCTTGCCACAGTACACAAACATTTGTTCTTTCTTACTGAAAATGTCAAGGGATTATTAAATACAGCACATTGAGACTTGCTCACACCTCCAACAACGCTTTCATTTTCTGTCTCCTACTCACCGATATCTCACTGTTCTCCTTGTTTACCTGAGGCATTTATTTTCTCTTGCTGTTCTGTCCCAGCTATGAAGATAACCAGCCTTTTCTCCTCTTTGGTCTTCTATAGCAGGGTTTGAGGGGAAGCTTTCCTTCATTTGTTTCTAGGTGTGCTCACACTAACCTCGTCTGAGTGCAGTTCCATTAAGATGCATTGGTGTTTGCCTCGATTTTAATCCACAGATGTGTCACAAACTGCCTCTCCCGCAGCAGGACCTTGTGGAGAAGGGATTACCTTCCACAGAGCTGTAGCATCAGCTTTCCATTTAATTTAATGTTTAAACTGTATCAAATAGTAGCATACACTCAGTAGCACCTAGGGAGCCACTGGCCCAGCGTTGGGTTATGGTGCCCAAGAGCAGCTGTGAGCTCCTGGTTAACAAAACCTGGCCCCTGCTCCATCACAGCAGAACTGGGCAAGCTCTTCAGCTCTGCCTTTTCACAGCCCTGCTGCTGTGGCCATTGTTTGATTTCTCTTTCAGCACTGATTCCTGCAGAGGGGTGGTTAAACTGGGCGTCCCGATGGGAACTGGGAAAAGCCCAGAGAAGACCAGAGAGGCCATCTGGCCTGCAAGGGAATAGTGTAGAGTCCAACCCACAGCCCAAATGAGGAGGGCAGCTCCAAGAACCACATAGAAAAACAACATTACAGCAGCATGAGACAGGTTCAGCTGAGGAAAGGAAATACTTGTGCTGCAGTATGGTTTTGACTTCATCTTCTCAGCAAAATTTAGCAAACAGAAATAATGAGGGCTAGTCACCCAATTTGCCATCTTTTCAGGGAAACTAGACACAGTCTTTTATAGAAGGCACACACAGTTGTGCAGCATTAACTGAGAAGTGCTAAGTGAAAGACCCTACAAAAAAATGTGTCCCCTCTTCACTAGAAATAAAAAAAAATACATACCAGTACAGTAATTTTGCCACCTGCAGCCTGGTGAAAGAAGATGAAAATACCGAAGGAGTGAAAAAATTGGGAGACAATCTCTTGGCAATTTATATTGGTACACCTTGGAGTACCTGGCTTTATTCTGGGCCCCCAGGAGAAAATACCTAATACACCAAAAAAATGATTGCACCATATTTAGCAAGCTAAAGCTATGTTGGGAGGCAGATGAGCTTTCTGTAGGATAAACTTTACCTAGGGAATGTGGAACTATGAGGAAGGGTTTATGCATTTATTCAGTGTGAAATGTTGTGGGTGAGACAATCTGTTTTTCCTCCTTTCTTGAAGATAACCAAGCAATGCATGTTGCAGCTCCAAGTCCAGTGATATAACTCCTGACAGAAGAGCACCTCCTTGTTTTGTACTGCCTCTGGGAAGTCATAGTCTTGTCCCTTCCTCAAGTTATTTATGGGTTTTGTTGACTGACTTCCTGGAGGGGTCTATATACAGCACTGGCACCTTTCAGCAAGTAACTTTCCTCTGTCAGAGGAGCAGTAAGAATTTGCTCTTAATGTTCATTTTCCTACAGAAGGGCAGAGGCTGAGCTGAAACTCAAATTAGCCTTCTGTGGCTTGGCATCTTTTAAGAGTTACTAAAAATAAATTCTCCAAACCCTGAACTTTCAGGCTTAGCAGGGAAAACAGCCTGTGGAGGATAGCTCTGCCCTCGGGTCTGTCTTTACATTTCAAAGTGTTCCACAGCCTGTATTAGACTTCTGCAAATTGAATGTAGCTGGAGAAGGTGCTTACATTTGCCAGAAATGGGGGTCAATACCATTTCAGATGCTTTTTGTACCATCTTTCTGATCCTGCAGGCATTGTAAGCACACAGTGTTGCTTCAAATTTAACTCGGCCTTCAAGAGATTTCTGCAAGTGCTATAGTCACTCTGCTGGCCACCTTGATGAGCTGAATCAACGACCTCCCAAGGCAGTTATATTGGGTTAAGGAGCCAGTTTTACCCAGGAACTATCACCTGTCCCCTGGAATGAGAGCAAGTGAGCTGCTGACAGACGAAAAATTGTCTCAGTGTCTCATACTGCAATTCTGCCTGAAGCATTTTAGTTCTTTTCCTGCTTAAACTCTGCTATATCTTACTGTGTAAACCCAGGGCTGCTCTACCCCATCCCAATAATCCCAGGACCAGGCCTGCTCTGGGAAGCCATTCAACAGAGCAAGAAGGGAGCCAAGTCCTTGGGCACAGGGCACCCTGGCACCCACTTCCCTCTTCATAGCTGTCAAAGGCACCATCACACTCAGCTGCTGGGTACCCAGGAGGTCAGGATCCTGTTGCACAACAGATGGAAGATGAGGTTCCGTGTCCCCTCTAATCTTCCTACCCTCCTGATCTGCAGTGGTGGTAGATCAGCTATTCCAAATATCCCATATTTTTTCAGTTTTCCTTAAGATTAGGAAAAGCATTAAAAGAGAATATGAGAAAGGCTACAGACAGATGTAAGCAGGTGAAGTTTTTGTCTCTGAGAAAGGTCTGGGTTAGGTTAGGATTTACAGTTTTTCCTTTAAATGGCTCTTATTCCTGACCTGGAGCTGGGTGACCCTGCAGCCCTCTTGGTTATTTCCCCCCTGCTTAGATGTGCATTTCCTCTAGACACAATGTGTGCTTTCACCCATGGTGCAGAGTTGTGGTAACACAGGATCACGCTCACATTTCCAGTTCAAGGTGTTCAGATCAGGATCCCCACTTTCTTCAGATGCAGGTCAGCAAGAGGGCACAGAGATGCTGGCAGCCCCTGAGAAGAGCTCTGAAGAAAAGCACACAGAAAATAGATTTTAGTTACATCATGGTTGTTTCACAAATCAACCTTATTTAAAAATTCCTCTTTTTTATTATTATTATTATTTGCCTTCCATTTTGTAGCTGTGAATAGTTCAGGCACAGATTTGTGCCTGTACCTTTGATCTCCTAATAACTGCTTCAGATCTTACCATAAAATTTATGAAAACTAATTTCATGCTCAGGATGTTCATCCTGTGGAACAAGAGACAAGGCTAAAGCACCTTTAAAATTCCTCTGGCAGGGTACATGTATAAAAAAATGCTAAAGAAGTAGTCTGGGCTATATTTGAACCCAACAGCACTTCTTTTCCCAGAAGTCAAGGTCTTTCCATGTGTTCAGACCCCGTTCCCTCATTGGGAAAGATGCTTTGAGGTGGATCTATGAGCCCAAGGTCTTTTAGGTGTCTATGAAAAGCAAGGCTTTTAAAAATGGGCATAAAAGCTTTGGATATCTGTTCAGATGCTTGCTCCATCTGGAAGCTCTCAGCTGTTTATATTAGCTCTGTAATTTAGCATTTTGAGGCATTAACTTTCCACTGAAGCTGTTGTTTGAAAAGAGCAGATTTCATGTAGCTCATAAAGAATTTAGTGCAGTTGTATCCCATGCTGAGCAGACACTTAATCACCTATAGACTTCCTGTGCAAGAGCAGTCCTGCGGAGGCCGGCAGGGCTGCTCGAACAAGAAAAGTTAATTGCCCATTTGTTCTAGCCTTTGCCAAACCAAGGCTTTGATTCTCAAGTGTTTCACTGTGCTTTCCTGCATCAGCAATAGCCCTGTAAAGTTCACATGTGACAGCTTGCTAGTGGGGAAGCAGCTCACCCTTATAATTCATCTCATTTGAGCTATCAAGCAGTGGTTACAATAGCACAGTTTTTGGAATCAGTTTTACAGATCTTAAAGCTGTTTTAGATCACATTTGGGGGGTTGTTTAAATGATTTACCTCCCTGTTGTGTTCCCACTGAGGGTAACCTGCTGGATAATGGCTGCAGAGGCAAATGTGACTCCTCTGGCATCCCCAGGTCTGTCCCTATGCCACCTTCCCTTAGACATTCTTTCCACCTCATTGCCCAGATTCTGCCCTTGTACATGCCCGAAAGGCTGCTTCTTTTCCTCCTGTGCAAGTGTAGCAGCTCCCAGGGCTGGGCAGAGGGATAGAGCTGAGCTTGGCAGCGTTGCCCAGGAAGAAATTGCCCATGACCATGCAGCCAAGGCACCTGCAAACCCTCCACCAAAATTTATGGGACCTGTTAAAGAGCTGATGGGAGGAGATACAGGACCCGGTCAGGTCAGAGAGTGGAGCACAACTTTGCAAATGACCTCATGTCCCTCAGGTGGGAAATCGGAGCATGTCAGCCCTCTCCCAGAGGGGAGCAGCTGCGAGCAGCACTCACAGGTTGCACACTTAAAGGACCGGGACTGGCTGCATTCAGGGCTTTTTGTGACATGGCAGGCATGGGCTGGGATCAGCTCTCTTGGTACAGGCAGCAGCAGCCACACTGAACTGCAACAATTTTCCATTGTTGGGTACCTGCTCCATTTCTAACCTGGGTATTAGCCTGGAAACATGAACCTGGGGGTTTGGAGTGTGAATACAAGTGTTTATTTTCTGTGAAAATAAAGAACTCTGGAACTCTCTAACAGCCCTACTGGCTCTGCCCCCAGTGCAGTGAAACCATGGGTCTCCTCCCAGGCAAATGGTGCTGGGTTATTTCTAAATAATCTCATTTGCAGCTATGTGAACACGGAGCTTGAATCACATTTCTAGTGTAAATTGCAGTGTCGGTGTAGGTGTTTGGCCAAAAAAAGAATTGCCTCCATCACTCTCTGACTGCCTTTAAGTAGCACCTAAGCTTTTTGTAAGGGCTTGGTGGTTTTGGGTTGCATGTAAATGTCATTAACAACAAGCTCTCAGCCAAAAGAAATAACTTTTTCCCTCTCCTCACTCACCCAAGGACTTGTAGGAGACCAGATGGCCCCAGTGTTTGGGAGCAAAGTTTGGCAAAGGAGACATTTTCAAAAGCTGGACTTTGCTAAGATGAAACGTAGCTGTTGCTGCTGTCTTGCAGCCAACTCCTCTGCTTTTTCTTTTTAAGTTCCATGTTCCTTTATTACCCACTGAACAGAAAATATGTACAAACCTATGTATGAAAGGAGTGAAATAGCCCAGTCCAAAAAAACATGCTGAATTTTCAGTGCCCCAGGGCTATTGATTTGGTTTTTTAAAGTGCATCTCAGTGCTACTTGCTGCAATGTTATGTTCTCATTTCTAAATCTGTAGGCGTGGGAGGCAGCGAGCTGCTCTCTGAAATCTTGCAATAAAAGCTTGGTATGAGGAGGAGGGAATTTATACTATGGAAAATGCCCAAGATTTGCTGTGAGAAATGTATAGTGCTGATCTTCAGCTGAGAAATGTCGTCTGCTCATCTCAGATCCAGGGCAGGGTTATTTGAAGGTCACATGATCCCCAGCAAGACGTGTTTGTGGGACTGCCAGGCTCTGGGTGTGCTTGTCCCTGCACCTCTGTGGGGACAAGCCAGGAGGGACTGTGGGTAAGGAAGGAGCTGAGCACCAGGCAGGAACCCACCCTGTCACATCTTGTTCACATCCCTTGTTGGGAGCAGCAGGAGAGCTTGTTGGGATGGGTTTATAGGAGAAGAGAATGCAGAGGCAGCTGCACAGCAGAGGGGACCTGCCTGTTTGGGGTGACCACTGCTGCTCAAGGAGCTCAGCTCTGAGCCCATGGGGAAAATAAGGTGTTAGCAGCTTCCCAGAGGTCACCACAGGACTTTTGAGTTTGTGCAGGAATTGCAACAGGAGACCTCAGGGATGCAGAGCAAACAGAGAGAGCAGAAGTTTTTGGCTGTTGTGCCAATGAGGGTGCTTTTCAGTAAAACTAGGGGTCCAGAATCTGTGTGCACAGAGCCACAAGAAATCCAGTGCTGTTCATTGGCAGGTCCAAGAATACACTGGAGCTAGAAACCCAGAAGTTGTCTGTGGCTTGGAAGTTGGGTTCTGATCAAGATGCTGAGCAGGACCATAAATCAGAGCAGCCAGTAAAGGAAGGGAGACGTTGAAAAAGTCAAAACATCTTACAGAGAGCTGGACATGCAAAAACAAATAGAAATGTTTCAAGTATGCCAAAAAACTCAAGATGTGAGTATGCCAAGAAACTTGAGGATGTGTCAGCAGAGCTGCCAGCTTACAAGGGACAAGTGAGGAAGCTGAAGCTGTGATCCAGGAACACTGGAACTTCCAAGCAGGAGTCAGCATCATTGCAGCTGAAGGTCCTGGTCTCACTCTGCTTGTTTAAGGTAACATAGAGAAGATGCTGTCAAGGGCAGGGCTTGGAGAAGAATTTCAGGTGAAACCTTACGGGTTGAAAAGTGTTCAGTGTCTATATCCAGATGGTTCACCCAAGAGTTCTGCAGGAGCTGGGCTGAAAGCTGCAAACAAACATACGTGTTTCTGCATAAAAACCAGCTGCTGTTTCAAGGAGATGGAGGCTTGGCCCGTATTTTAAGAAAAGCCTTAGGATTGGTCTAGACAATGATGGATAGAAAGCTGAGGGGGAGCTGTTCCTGGCAATTTAATAGGAAAGACAATTAGCAACAGAATAAGAAAGCACCAGGAGGATATGGGAAATCAGTAGAGCTAAGGACACATTCACATTTCTATATTGGAGAACATTGTCTCATTGCTCTGTTAAGAGTTATTGCATGTCAATGAAGCTGAGGGTAAAGAAGAGCTAGTGTGATGTACACTTCATTCCTGCACAGGAGGCTTTCAAAGAGCTGAACAGATTGACTCAAGGCTTGGGTAAAGAGAGGAGGTGGCCCCAAAAAAGGACCTACATCTATAAATCAGTCTGGACAGCAGCTGCCCTGTTAGGCTGATCTGCATGTCCAGCCCTTCTTAGGCTAGCACAGGTAGGATGGGTTTGAGTGACAGTGTCTGCTGTGATCTGTGCCTCCCACCAGAACCTGCCCACCTGCCTGCTCACCACACTGGGGACTCCTCTCAGGATCACTGGGGCAGGTGTCTCACTGCCACTCTGCTTTTCCCCTGCAGGAAAGTCCCACCTGGCCATCGTGCAGCGGGTGAACAATGAAGGGGAAGGAGACCCGTTCTACGAGGTGATGGGCATTGTCACCCTGGAAGATGTCATTGAGGAGATCATCAAGTCCGAGATCCTGGATGAGACAGATCTGTACAGTTAGTGTCCCAGAGCAGCTACTGTGGTTGCAGAAGCCAGGGTGGGAGCCTGCACAGATAGACAGACAGACAGACAGACAGACAGACAGACAGACATGTGGGTAGGAAACAGGCCAGAGCAAATCATGTCTCCCCAGACTAATTTGCTGTCATGATGGGAAATTCAAGAATGATGGAGAAGTGCTGGTCAGGAAGTTCTGAATGCTCAAGATAGAGAAGTACCAGCATCAGCAGTGGGTGGCTGGGCAGGGTCTGATCTAGGAGCATCTATGCTGGGCATGAAATGGGTGGTTCCTAAGCTCATTTGCAACTCCGGGTGATGCATCCAGCCTGGACAACCCAGGGCTTGCTCCTGAGGAGTAAGTGTGAGTTTCACCATCATGCTTCCTGTCCCGGGAGCTGCTCCCAAGGCTGGATGCACAGCAGGTTTTATGCACCCCACTGCTCCATCTGCTGCTCCACAGCAGCCCTGCCATAGGGTGCAGCAAGACATGCCTGTCCATACGTGTGCATGGGACATGGGGCCCTGCAGCTGCAGCGGCTCTGTGGCTCCTGCAGGAGAGTGACTGCTGTGCTCTGCCTGCAGCTGACAATCGGAAGAAGGAGCGGGTTCCTCACCGGGGACGCAAGCCCCAGGATTTCTCCATCTTCAGGCTCTCAGAGAGTGAGATGAAGGTGAAGATCTCCCCTCAGCTCCTCCTGGCTACCCATCGGTTCATGGCAACAGGTACACTTGCCCTTGTGCAAGCTCTGCAGCACCAGCCGCACAGGGCATCCCTAAGCCATTCTTGGGTTGGGCTCCCCCGCACTGAGCAATTTCCTGGACCTACAACCTGGGCATTCCACTGCCTTACCAGTGCAGGTCTGCATGTGGCTCCCCTCTTGGCACTGGGTGCTTAGGCTGCAGCAGCAGGGCTGTGCAGCTCAGGGGATGAGGGGTTCCCTGCAGTCCCAGACCTGCTGAGCACAGCACCTGTGTGTTGCCTCTCCTGTAGAAGTGGAGCCTTTCAAGTCTCCCTACCTCTCTGAGAAGATCCTGCTGCGGCTCTTGAAACACCCCAATGTCATCCAGGAGCTCAAGTATGACCGAAAGAACAAGAAGGCAGCAGAGCATTACCTCTACCAGCGCAACCGCCCTGTCGACTACTTTGTCCTCATCCTGCAGGTGCCTGGGGCAGCAGCAAGCAGAGGGTGGAAGGGCATGGCCCTGTTTGCTCCCTGCCACCTCGTTCTAGGTGGCTTCTGTCAGCAAAGATGCCCATCCTCTTGCATGGGATAGGAGGGGTCCCTGCAGCCCTGGGTGGGTCAGGAGCATAGGATGCCTGTCTGAGAGGGTTTTTCTCCTCCTTCCAGGGGAAAGTGCAGGTGGAGGTCGGCAAGGAAGGACTGCGGTTTGAGAATGGGGCGTTCACCTACTATGGTGTCCCTGCCATCATGGCTGTTGTCTCCTCAGGTGAGGCCTCCGTGGGCTCCCTCTGGCACTGCCTTTGCTTCAGCAGCATCCATGGAGGCTACACCAGCTGGTGCCAGGAGAAGGGGATGGCCATGGGGTGGGGTAGCTCTGCTTTGGGGCATGGGGCCTTTGGGGCATGGGGCAAGCAGGAGCCCTTCCTCTGCTATTCCCACACCTCCAACTGTTGTTTCAGAAAACGATGTGCGAAAAATGGGAAGCCTGGCAGGATCCTCCTTCCTATGTAAGTATTTTGGGACAGGCTGAGGCCCTAAAACCTTTCTGCAGCACTGGCTGGCTGGAGGAGAGATGGCTTTTCTCCCCATGCAAAACAGCTCAGACTCCATGCTGAGGTAGACAGAGAAACAACTTGCTGAGGGGTGGATGCAGAAAAGTCACCACAGAGTGATTTGGAGGTCCCTTTGATGTCCCTTTGATGTCCTTTTGAAGTTTCTGCCATGTGCTGAGTCTCTACTGGTGGGTCCCTGCATGACTGGTGCTGCAAGGAGCATTGCCCACACGTGAGTGTTATGCTCATTCTAGGTCTCAGCATAACACCTTTAGACGCATTTGCCTTCCTGAGGCTCAGGGCACAACCTGAACATGAGCCCTACATTGGGCTGCTTAAGAATTGTAGAGATGGGTTGATTTACCTGTGAGCTATTTGCACATGATGGTGGGAAATTAGCTAAGTAGATACCCCAGTGCAAATAAATTCCTTGCCAGCAGAGTGCAGGGAATAAATATTTTTTATTTATTCCATTTAACATAGAAATAAATTCTCTTCCTGCAGAGCTGATGGGTTAAGAAGCAGAACCCCTGCTTGCAGGAGTTAAGCGAGGGTTCTGATTAAGGGAGACTGAGAGGTATCCCCTTCTTTGCTATAACACCTGCAAATGTTTAGTCCCTGGTGGCTCAGGACCAGGTCGAGGTGCTGCCCAATCCCAGTCTGTCACATCCCGCATCCAAACCCCAGATATTGCAGATATTGTCACATCTGCAGTCCTGATGGTAAGCTGAGATGCTCTGCCTGCCTAATCAAAACAGGGACCTACTAAATTCAGTCTTTAGGGAGACGTAAGGAGGAATGTCATCAAGAGAACAGGGGGAGTCTCTTGGGGCAGGTGGCTCATTCTGGTGGGTCCCAGTCTTTCTGCAGCTCTAGGGTTCACCTATTTCCTGCTGCTTTCTCTGCCTCTGTGCAAAAAGCTGGCTCGTGGCCTGATGGGTGAACCCTCAGTGTGCAGTCCTGCCTTGCTGTGTGCCCACAGTGCAGTCGGTTTAGCCAGACGAAATCAGTGAAGTGGCCAGTTTCTGTCAGGGTGCTGCTGGATGGCCCAGTGTCCTGTATCCTAGGTGTATCCTCACGGGCCCACTGGGGCTCAGGCAGGGCAGAAGGGAGCTGTGTCAGAGCAGGCATGCATGTCTGCAGTGCCGCCTGCTGGGACACTGCTGCTCAGGGCTCCCCTGCTCCCAGTGCTCACGCATGACACTGTCCCGAGGTGTTTCCTGCCATGCAGCCATTCCTGCCTGCAGTGGGACAGACCTGTGTCACACCCCTGGCCAGCAGGCTAGGAGGCAGAGGTGACAGGGCATCTCCCTCGTGGTGGAGGCTGGCATCCCCTTTCCTCCTTGAATGAAAGCCCAGAAGAAATGAGTGTGAGTAGAGTATCACAGCTGAGAATTCAGACATCAACCTAGAACATCTAACAATTTGTTATTAATTAACTGTTGTTATGCAACTGCTTTATCATCAGCTAATCTTTGGCATTGGTGCTGTGTGGTGACAAACGCTGTGGGAGGGTCAGGCAGTGGGAGCACGGGGTCAGTGCTACTGGTTATCAACTCATCCTTTGCTCCCATCAGGACAAGGTCATTCCGGGCAGTGCTTTGTGCTGATGTCTTTTTTATTTGCAGAAGGTTTTGATTCAGGAGAGAACACAGAACATTAATTCCTGGGGGAGCAGCAGGGAGATAAGAAAAGGGGACTGCAGGGCAAATTCCCTGGGGGTTTTACATTTGAAGCAATTTTAAAACATTAATCACATAGGCAGCAGATAGTTCCTAGAGTGTTGCAGTTGTGCTGCGGGCACAGTGGTTGGATGTAGGGCAGGGCACCTCAGGCAGGAGGGCTGGCAGCTGGAGGAATCATGGCAATGGCTAGAGGAAGGGGCTGGCAGCCAGCAGGCTCACATTTCCCACTGCTCCCAAGGTGGGCAATGGCAGTGGTGAAAGCAGAGACTGACGAGTGTTAAGGAGTGCATCACTCACCCTGTGTGTTGGTCTCTCTGTGCTACCCCAACCCCTGTGGCATGGCCCAGGAACGCTGTGGAGGGCAGCAATCACCAGGAGGGGAATGGCCTGTCCTAGAAATTGTCACTGCTGCTGTAACCCATGGCAATAAAACATGGAAAGTGAGTGTCTATGATTTACCTTCTCTGTGGCAATGGCTCAGGTAGCCCCAGATGCAGAGTCCTGTTTCTTGCAGTTCTTGCAAGGATCAGCCCCCAGTGGGTAGCTCTTCTTGGCATCACCTGAAGGCTATTGAGACCCAGGACCTTGCAAGGAGCTGCAGGCAGCCTGACATGAATCCCTTTGCTTTGTATCACCCTGAAGAGCTTCTGTCAGCCCCTGCCTGCAGCTGTGGGGCTGAGCAGCGACTTTTGCAGAGCATATTCTTTCTCTGCCATGTGCCTGCACACACAGAAGCATCCCTAACTCCAAGTGCAGGGATTTAGCTTTCATCCATTTCCCAGGTGGCATAAGCTGACCACAAAGTCCACTATTCTGGCCATGGCTGATAAAGGGCTGATCCAAGTGCCAGCACTTAACCCACAGGGGAAAGATGCTTTCTACCCATGCCAGGGCTCTAGGAAGCTGTGTGGCTCTGCAGACAGGCCTGGCAGGAGCAAATCCCCCTGCCAGCCTCACCTCCCTGTACCTCATCACAGAGCAACCTGCTGATTTACAGTTTTCGAGTCTGTGTTCCTGCTGGTGGCCCTGTCCCCAGGACTGACGAGCACCTCTCTCACCAGAGCAGAAGCAGGAGGGTGTAAAAGGGGTGGGAAGGGATGCTGCAGACAGCAATGGGAGCTCAGCCCAGGATTGCTGGCACTTGATTCTTTTTCTTACTCTTCCTCTTGGTCTGTATCCCACCCTCACCTTCATCCCTCACCTTTCCCCTGGGTCCCCTCCTTCCTTCTCCCTCCCTCTCTCTGCAGTGCCTGTCTCAGTGTCCCGTACTTTCGCCTTCAGCAGAGGGGACTCCCTGGCTGGCTCTCCAGGTAACAGGGCATGGCTTTGGCCAGGGACCTCTGCATGTGACAGGCTCTTTCCAGCACCCTGTCCACAGAGCCCCAAGCCCCCTCCACCCTGCATGCTGGGCAGTACCCACGGTGCCCCTGGGCAGCCCCTCACTGGTTGGAGCATTGGTGGCAGACTGGGGACAGCAGTCCTGCCACAGCCTCCCTGGTATGGTGCAAATCCCTGGAAAAATGGGATGGGGGCAAGGGGGAGCCATGGGCAGCTTGGGCTTTCTTTGGTGTGCGCTTCCTGTAACTTCCTGCACTTAGCACTTGGGGTTTTGGCTTGCTGCTTTTGGTGACAGTGACCTGCAGCCCTGCATGCCTGCTGCCCCACCCCCTTTGCTTCCTGGTGATCTGAGTAATAAAAAGGCATTTTAGCAGCAAAGCAAAGTCAGCACCATGTCACCTATTCAAGGAACAAGCTGCCTTTGTTCACTTATAAATCACTGACTAGACAAAATCCACATGCTGTATGTGAGAGGCCACACCGTGTGTCAGAGGCCATCAGTCAATGTGAATGACAGGCCAGCTTGCCATGGCAGCCTCTCCTCCTGGTCTGTCATAGTCGGGGTGAACAGGAGCATGCCCTTGAGGCAGGTTAAGCAAATACTCCCAGGCTGCTGGCTGCAACCAGGAGAAGCTGTGCCAAATGCGGTGCAGAGAGCCGTCCGTGACAGGCAGGCAGCTGCCCTTACCCCAGCTGCTGGCACCGGCTCAGAGTCCTGCCCAGTCCCTTTGGTTTGTGAGGGGCTGGCGTGGCACAGCCCGCACACCAGCGTGCACCGAGGAGGACAGGCTGTGGAGCTGCCAGCCCCGTGTCCTGGGGAATAGCCACTGGAGGTGACTGGTCCACCTGGGCCCTACACCGGCACTGGGAGGCCAAGCAGCACCACGAGCCAGAGTGAGTGTTTGCCTCTCTGCTGTCCCCTCCTGCAGTGAACAGGTCACCGTCGCGCTGCAGTGGCCTCAACCGCTCCGAGTCCCCCAACCGGGAGGACTATGGAGGCAGCAGCACGCAGCTCCACAGCAGCAGCAACAACATCTACACGCCCGACTACTCCGTGCACATCCTCTGCGACGTGCAGTTCGTCAAGGTATGGGCAGGGCTGGCAGGGACTGTCCCACCCTGGCCACCCCTGTCCAGGTGCCCTCTTGCCCCTCTGAGCCCCAGGAACCTGGTGGGTGCCCAGTGGGTGCTGAGGAGTCCTGCACTTCCTCCTGCTGTCTGGAGGTTTGGAGCCACCAAGTCTCCGAGAGGTCCTGGTGGGGCTGGGTGCCCACTGAGCTGGGTGCACGTCTGTGTGCCCAGGTGACCCGGCAGCAGTACCACAACGCGCTGGTGGCCAGCCGCATGGACAGCTCACCCCAGTCCCCCGACATGGAGGCCTTCGACAGGGATTCAACCAAGGCCTCAACTGCACGGGGAACCCCACAGACACCCAAGGAGGACCCTGCCACCCTCCTGAATGAGAGGAACAGCATCATGTGTGAGTCACCCAACAGCATTCCTTCCCTGCCACAGGCCAACATTCCATGTCCCCTAGGGGGGTCTGTGCTGGCATGATGCACACACCACCTCTGGGATGCAGCTGCACGTGGAGCGGGGCTCCTGTACAGTGCAGGCCTCTGCATACCCACACCTGTGGATGCCTGCAGCGTGCAGGCACGTAATTCCTCATTGCCTTGCGCTCGTGTCCCCCGGCGTCCCTGGCAGCTGGACCTGCTGCCGTGGCTGGCATCCTGGCATGTCCTGACCCAGGGCACAGCACCTCCCTGCCCTGTGTCCCTGCAGGCAGCCGCTCCGAGGGGCCACGCAGTCCCAGCGAGTCGGTGTTCCTGCGCATGGAGGGCATCCCCTTCATCCAGGAGGAGCTGGCTGACAACGAGGAGAACAGCAAGAGGCAGAGTGAGTCTGGCTGGGGGGGACATGCACCTGACCCCGGGGGTGGCTGGACACGGTGCCCCAAGGCACTGCAGCCATGCTGGGCTTTTGCAGACAGTGAGTGCTGCGGGACTGTCCTGGAAGCGGAGTCCCCGGGCAGAGAGGCCGCAACCAGCTCATCGCCAAGCAGCTCTGAGGAGGCGCTGGGCAAGAGGCTGCTGAGATCCCTCAGTGAGTGACTGACCCATGGATAGCACACCCAGCCAGGGGAGAGCTCTGCCTTGGCACCCCACTGCCTGTGTCAGCCGTTTCCCAGCCCTGTTCTGGGACACCCTGCATGGGGCTGGCGTGGAACAGGAGACAACCTAATTCCCTGTCAGTACCTCAGCAGCAGGCAAAGCTGCACCTAGGGCTAGCTCAGGCAGAGCCAGCCACTAGGTCCTGGCGCAAACCTATGCACGCCTGCCCTGAGCCCCTTTGGCTCCCAGCACCCCAGCCCTAAGTACCCTTGCTGCTGCAGGTGGGCGCAAGCAGCGGACATCATCGGAAGGTGAGAAATCGCCAGAGGAAAGCTCCAATTTCGCCCCATTAATCACCTGAGCAGCAGCGTGGCCAGAGCACAGTGCTGGAGGCCCATGCAGACTGGAGGTAGGAACCTGCCTCTTGGTGCCACATTCCTTCCTCAGCAAGTGGGAGATCACTCATTTTAAGTAGTATAAAATCAAGTTTCAAGCAGAAAAGCCAAATGGGGTGGTTTGGAGGCTATGTAGGTGTGTTGCTGGGGGCTGGAGCAGGGTCAAGGGATATGGAGCACAGTCTGCTCTCAACAGCAGACTGGAGTGAGACCTAGGCTCACATTTTCACTAAAACCTGTGTCTGCACAGGTTTTACGCCCCTGTACACCCCTGAGCCTGGCTAGGAAAGGTGCTGCAGGCTTGAGCAGCAGCAGGTCAGGGAGGACAAGCTCTGGCCACCTGCACCAGACTATGCTTGTGTCTTCCAGGTCTGCAGCATGGGGGTCTCCTGCCGTGAGGCTCACGTCCAACAGCAGGAGGTCTGCACTCGCTCGCTGCCTGTCCGCCCGCTCGTGCCGCCCCTCCCTGCAGGACTTGTGCAGAGCCCCATCCCCAGGAGAGAAAGGATGTACCCCCGGCAGGGCTGAATCACCCAGGCAGCCTGGACCAGCTGGCTGGAGTCTGAGGGCCCTTGCCCAGCCGCTCCCTGGTAGCATCTGGTCTCAAGGAAGAGGTGGAAAAGGAAAGATGAAAATGTCTGTCACGGCATCCCTGCAAGCAGTGCAGGGAGGGGCAGCCCAACCCAGAACTGCCCTTTAACATCATTTACCATCCCCATCCCAGCGAGGCCTGGAGCCCCGCTGCGCTGTGTGCTGCAAGACGTGGTCTCCACCATGAGGAGAATGTGCTATTTGGGGGTGCCACATGCAGCTCAGGGCCCCAGCACACGTTTGTGCCGTGCCTGGTGACACGCCCGCTTGCAGCGCCTCGCTCACGCTGACCATGGACACAGCACTCCCAAAGCCCTGCTAGGCACAGGGCAAGGAGCCCCCTCACCCCCGAGTGCAGCCCCCTCCCTGGGGAGGGGTCTCCCCATGCTGCACTGGACCATCCTCCTCTCCACACACGCCTGCCGGTGAGAGGGAGGCTCGCACCAAGACTTCGGGGTGGGACAGACCAGTCAGTAGTTTTTGTAGAGGCTCAACGCAACAGGGATATCAACATTAAAAATGATTTTTCCCTGAGCAATGCCTTCTCTGTATCCATAGGTGTAGGGAAAGACACTAACCCATCCCACCAGGCCAGGTTGCCCTCACACCCAGGGCCAGAGGTGGCTGGAGTAACACGACTCAGCCTCACTGGAGGGAGCAAGGGAAGGGGTCAGCAAGTGCTGCCGGATTTCTCGCCGTGAAGCTGGGCACTGTGCCACTCCTGCTGCCAGGAGAGCACTTGGCAAGCAGTGAGATAAGTCCCAGCAGTGCAGACAAGGACTGGGGGAAAACAGGAGTTAGTATCGGGCCATTGCAAACACAATAGTGGGATACACGTGCTGGAATACAGCCTGACAGATAACAACAGAAATCTCATAGTCCACCCATGCTGATAAAACTTCAGCTGGAATAACTGCAGCCCTGTCTGGGCACTGCCCTTCTAAGGAAACACACAGCAATTGAAAAGTGGACAGAGGAAAGCAAGGGCTGGAAAACAACCTACCTCAGAAGCTAAAGGAAATCGAGTCACTTAATCTTAACTGGTGAAGGATGTGAAGGGGAGAGAGGAAGTTTCCAAATACATAAAAAGCTGTTGTACAGAGGAAAGGAATAATCTGTTCCCTGTTGCCATGGTAAATGGGATAATTGGTAATGAGCTTACACCACAGAGAAGGAGAAATTTAGGTCACTTGCTAGGAAAAACAAGGCCCGTAAGACTAGCAAAACTCTGATATAGATCACATAGGGTGGGCCAGCCTTCACACCAGGAGGTCTGCAAGGGCAGAAGTGTAAGAAAATATCATAAATAACAAAAGCAGAATTGGTTCCTTAACTCCTCCTGAGATCACCCCTCGGAGTCACCTTTTAACCACTTCCCCACCATCCCTGTTGTGAATAGACACCAAGAGGAGAAAAAGAACCCCAGCTGCAGAGGGGATCTCTTTCCAGAGAGGAGGAAAGGCTGCCTCTGGCTGACTCTCTTGTATGACATAAATACTAACCCAAAAAAGAACAAACAAGAGACCCCAGGCACTCTGTGCAAACACAATAAAGCAATAAGGCACCATTTTTGCCTTTTCTAAGCTGCAGCACAAGCAAATCCATCGGGGTAACAGTGACTACTGCTACTTGACACAAGGAAAGGAGCTGTCCCCTTTCTTCACAAGATCCTGTCAGGAGGCTGCTCTGTCAGCTCACAAATAGATTTGCAGTGACTGCAAAGAGCAGAAACAGATGGTCCCAGCTTTTTCAGTGCCAGAAACACAGGCTCTTGCTGGCAGGCCCTGCTGGAGCCAGTGGGAGTAGATGGTGGTTCACTGAGGCCTGCTGAAAAGGATGAACAGAAGAGATCTGCTTTTTGACATCCAAGGCGCAGGCCAGGAGCCCTGAGCCAAATGGCTGGAAACACTTGACCATCCAGAAAGCAACCACGGACAGACAGGCAGGACAAGCTGGGCAGCACAGGGCAGCAGGGCAAAAAGAACACAAGATGAATACAGGAGGAACTGGTTGGCTTCGTGTAGTCGCAGGGAGCTCTCAACACTCTCCGAGTAAGAGCCCCCCTTTAGTAGTGGCTGCGATTGTCAGAGATGCAACACACCTGAGAGAAAGGGATAGCCTTGAAACAAACTGAGTAAGTGGACAAACCAGGATGTTGAGGCTTTAACCTCAGCCTGGGGAGAGGTCCATATGGTCTGAAGACACGTAATCACAAAAGGCAGGGGTAGCATACAGAGACGAAGGTTTAATTTCATGTCAGCAACACAAAGAAGCAATTATCACAATTACAAATATTTGCTCGTATAAGGCTCAGAAACTGGGAAGGGGTGGGACGGGTGGAGAGAGGAAGCTAACAACAGCTTTATCCCTCTCCAAAATACTACTGAGTGACATTAGTTCACAAGCCATGTGAGATCTCAACCACAGTGCTGTTATCCCACAGTGCATTGCACTGGCACCAGACTTTTGCCATGATCAAAATGATCAGTTACATGGAGTTGATTCAAACGTGATAAAGATGCAGCTCTAAGGGCCTGGAGACCAGGTTGCTGTTGTGAAACAAGAGCCAAGGTGGCTCATGCTGCCCGACCTCCTGGGGGCACTGGCTTACCACATTGCAAGAGTCACTTTAAAAATGTCAGACGGTGATTATCCCTGATTGAGCTACTGCTCCCATCTTTATTAAACCCCAAGAGGTGTGGGAAAAGGCAAGCCATGAGCAGAGATAGACATGGACTACACACTATAGCTTTGGTGACTTTATGTAAGTTTGGTTGTTCATATGCTTCATTGGATTTTTGTGACAGCTTCATGGATGGACTTGGCCACATAGTCCAGGTTCTTGGTAGTTAGACCACACATGTTGATGCGCCCACTAGCCATCAGGTAGATGTGTTTTTCCTTGACCAGGTACTCCACCTGCTTAGCTGGGGAAACAATTGGACAGCAGGTCAGAGCAGTGACACACAGCTCAGAAAAGCCCAAAGAACTAGGCAGGGATGCTTGAATCTTTCACAACAAGCAGAAGAGTTCAAGCACTGGCCACTAAAATACTGTGTGATGTTTCATCCCTCCCCAGCCACAGATGCAAAAACTCCAGTGAGACAGAGAGATTCCCGCTTGGACTGCTTCAGCCCAGTTCACCCACAGCAAAACTGTCCCCACGCAATCCTCCCTTCTACAGACCACTTGATACTTACGGTTCAACCCTGTGAAGCTGAACATGCCAATCTGCTCTGTGATGTGGTTCCAGGTGCCTGGAGTCCCAAGGGCCTCCAGCCGAGACCGGAGCTCTGACCGCATCAGCAAGACCCGATCTGCCATTGTCTTCACATTGCCCTTCCTGCAGCAGGCGGGAAGCAGAGCATGAGGATGGGCACACGTTTGGTTTGAAGCCATCGGGCCAAGCCTGACTCTCAAAGAGACAGCTTCCCTTCCTCACCCTCTCCCACCGGCTCTGGCAACACGTACCACTCATCAAAGAGCTGCGGGGAAGAAAGTGTAGTTGCCACAATGCGCGCTCCCTGGGAGGGAGGGTTGGACCAAGTGGTGCGCACGATCTTCTCCATCTGGGATAGCACACGCTGCACATTGTCTGCATCCTTCCCCACCACGGTCAGGTTCCCCACCCGTTCATCTGTGGACAAGCCAAGAGATGTGAGCCATCGGTTCCACATGTCGTGGCAAGCAGAGAATTCCCCATCCCTCAGCATGCCAGCCCCATCTGTCTGGGTATGATGCTATTGGGCCAGCTTACTGCCAGACACTCACTGTAGAGCCCAAAGTTCTTGGAAAACGACTGTGCACAGAAGAGCTCAAAGCCCTCGGAGACAAAGAATCGCACAGCCCAGGCATCCTTGTCCAGGCTGCCAGAGGCAAACCCTTGGTACGCAGAGTCGAAGAATGGAAACAGGCTCCGGCGCTGCAAGGAGGAACAGTGTTAGAGGGAAACCCCCTCCCCACAATCTCTCTTTTACCCCCCACAGTACCCGTAGGAGGGAAAAACGACCATTGAGTTTCTGTGTGAATTCAAAGGAAACATGGTCCAGCAGCACCAGACTGAAATACTTTCTTTCTACTGGGGTAAAAAAATAGAAAGACTAAAGTGGTCAATAAAAGTCAATGCAGGACAAAACTGCATTTGAGGACAAAAGAAGTGCATCACTCCATATGCTACTATCCAACACCTGCCTGTGGATAATCTTTCCAGCAGGAGAAACCTCAGTACAGCCCATTCCACAGAATGTGAAAACAAGAACTTGGAGGCACAAAAAGAACTACAGCACATGTCTCCTCTGAGCACAGACAACCAACATTCTGTTGTCCACCTCTCCCTTCAACATCTGCCTTGTGAGACTCTTTCAGCTTCTGCCACATCTCATGCCATTCCCGCAAAGCCCAATGCCCAGCAGCTGCCCATACCTTCATGATAGCAGCAATCTGCTTCCACTGCTCAGGAGTAGGGTCTGTGCCTGTTGGGTTGTGTGCACAGGCATGGAGGATGAAAATGGAGAACTCCGGGGCTTGCTGAGGAGAGAACAAATCTTGGTCACATACACACATGGATGAGACTAGGCACCCGCAGCACAGGGAGAGGCCTGGAGCTACTCTGGGCAACAACAGCCTCTTTTGCAGTGAATCCACTTCCCAGCACAGCACACCAGAGCCCAGCCAGCTGCAGATACTGAAAGTACAGCACCAAGCGCAGCCCATCCCATGACAGTTTTACTCACCTCCATATCATTCAGCAGCCCCTGGAGATCCAGACCCCTCTTGGCAGCATCCCAATAGTGGTAGGTTCTAATATCTTTGAAGCCAGCATCCATAAACACAGAATTGTGGTTCTCTGAGGAAAGAAATAACTTCTCAGAAAAGTACATCCTACCTCCAGCAAGCTGCCTTGTCCAGCCCCAGCATCTCCCATTACACACACGAGAAGTGCCCAGGCCCCTGCTGGGAGAGGGGCTGTGCCTCCCTCACTCGCTGGCCCACAGGGCTCCCTGAGAGCAGCACTCACCCCAGGATGGAGCAGAGACGTAGACGGGGGTGGCCGTGTTGTTGTTGCCATTGTACCAGCGCCTCAGGAACTCCGCACCGATCCGCAGTGCACCTGTCCCGCCCAGGGACTGCACGCCTCCGACCTGCAACACAGACACTTGCCAGCACTGTCCCACCCAGGGCAGCACTGCTGTCAGTGCACAGAAAGCACAGGTGCTTGCAAGAGTGACACAAGGTCCCACACATGTCCCCTGGGGTCAGCTCCATCAGAATGCCATCCCCTTCCCATGGTCTTCAACTGTCTTCAGTGCTCAGGCCCATCTGACAACTTCTACCATTATAAATAGACTCCAACCATTCCTGCTATATTTTGGCACGGAACAGATTCTCAGCTAGTAGTTTATTTCAGGAAAGGTGGTATATTATCTGACTTCGGTTTCCTGTGGGGAAACTATTAAAAGATGAAGGAAAACACACAGTCCAATCACAAGCCACGTTCAGTTTTTCCCCAAAACCACAACTAGCACAAACAGTTC